GAGCAACCCGATGACTTAGTAGTAAACCGAATCACTTCCTCTATTCCAGTCTCTGGTGGATATTTTGAAAGACTTGCCTCCGATAACTGTTAAAATATCTATCAGAGTCAAAAGAGGCAGATGTTTCGGTCAAATTTAAAAGCATCAGTAAGTGATCCATAGGAAAGAGTCGGTGACCAAACTATGCTGCACACGAAACACAAAAATACTCAACGAATCAAACAAATATTCCACTCACCTCTACATCCACCATAATAGTCCAGATGAACTTTTTTCTCGGCAAGATTTTTACATGCGGCATCTTTTCTCCTGCAGAGACAATGTTCTCTGTCTAATAGACAATCACTTTTATATGTGATGTTCTTAGTGCTGCAGACCTGTAAGAAATGATAAAAGGGATAATTACAAGATCAGGTGACAAAGGTTTGGATGCTGACGAACTTTGCTCGGAAGATTACATTTGATCAGGATTAGTAGGCTTCTCCTGATAATACATGTATATTTGGTGCTGTGTTCTAACTGCATCGAAGTGGTTATTTACCCAGTATCGTTCGTCTGTCTCCTCTTCACAGTTTTGGTAGCAGACACAAGATGGCTGCCGTTTCTCATCTACTATACACTGTTCACCACGTCGACATCGTTTCTTCTCACATGGATCTGTAATAAATAGGATGTTGGAGTTGTGGAATGGTGTGCTGGTGGACAATTGTAAGGAGTTTTATGGTCGACTCCTCTGCACCTAATTGGTTGATGAAGACAGACAACGACATGTAGTGTGCAATGAGTTTGAGAGCTTTGAGAGCAATTTTGCCAGGACATTATAGCATGGCATTATAGCCTATTCTTTTTCGATTTTCAACTCTCGAGTGATCTTTAATGTGGACAGTCTCCGATCAGCATAAGGATGAATGAAACCATGCTTCTAATTTGAAAATAGCATACAATAAACCTATGTATGTTTACGGATAAATATCAAAATGTTGGTTTGTGGACAAGGTTTTTGTGAGCGCCATCTGAGGAATGTAGTTGCTATACATATTGAAAACGGAATAAGAAGTTCAGTTGCTGGCCAGTGAAGCTCTTCTCAGAAACAGCTGGTCACTACTTCTAATTCAGCATAAATGATTTACCAAACTGTGACACTTATCCAATACCTTCGAAACCCTTACAAAAATCACCAAATGCAACTTTTATAATTAGCAGCGTACAGTATACGCCATTTCTGCATTAAGGTACTACCAGGTGTTCGGACAGGACCTAGCAATGAAGTTACTTACTAACGAGTGTGGTTTTACCAGCCTCTACAGCAGCCACATCTATCTCTTCTTCTTCTACTTCTTCATCGTCATCTTCATCTTCATCAGCCTGAAAATAATTAAACGTAAAACACTTAATTAATCCCACGGACTCATTTCACTTAAGACCTACGACGGAACAAAAGGGCCATTAACTCGTAAATTGAATTATAATGCAGGCAGTAAGTAGTTTGAAATGACTGGAATATCGTTTTGTTGTCGTTAAAGGTGCAGTGAGTGGTAAGTGATAATACTGGAAAATAGAAACGAATATAAAGTAAAGATCCACACAGAATGATGACATGATGCGATTTTACTGTCCCCGTCTCTTCTCCTCCATATTCATAATGGAGTCATCTTGATAATCATCTAAATTTTCGATTTTTGCATCTAACTCATATCGCCTTAAAGGATAATGATGCTAGATAGAATGCTGACCGTTTTCGACAGGTGTCCTGGCAGCAACAGCTGACTTGTTCAGTACCCAGTATGTCACAATAACCTACACTATTTACTTATTCAGACCTAGAAAATGTACCTGGTGAAATAAACAACTCTAGAATGACTACCATACCTAGACTCTGTCAAATATACACAAGCTGAGAGGTTACAATATGTTCTAAATATGTCAACTATTCCAAATACTACCGGTGCAGTTTAGTCACCGAGTTGTTAGATATGTACTTGTACAGAGTATACCTATACTGTG